AAGGATTACTCCAGTGGTGGCATGATAGGGAGAAAATGCTCTTAAAGTGCTTAACTTGGACTACATTATGCCTTAAGAAGCTGTTGCTACTAAGTTTTGCAATGTTCTTAACTGAGCAAAGGTGGCAAAGCCCAATAAGGAACTTAAACATGAAAATCCAGAGTTTTATAAGCTCTTTACTTTTCTTTTAGAAGTCCAAGTTTATATGTAACTTATTAACATATCCACCACCATCAAACTTCCCCAATAAAATGTGCTGTTTTATTATGAGTGTAGGTGTAGCTGTGAATCATTTATGGACAAATTAGGCAACAGGCTCTCTAAACACATTGAAAAGTAAGATAGCAGATAATTTCAGATTGGCAGGATTATTAGAAGAAATGGTCTGTGTAGTTTCTTCAGCGTTAAACTTTCCCACATCAGTTGGCAAGTTCCATCGCTCCAGTGTTTCATAGACAGAACAAAATACATTAACAGTTGCACCGAACAAAATATGTTACCACAAACACAAATTAAAATTCCGTTAATCTTTTTCCTATCAGAGGTAGGTAACAAGTTATATCACTTTCTTAATCCCCCCATGTATTTAAGGGTTTTGTATTACACCCTTCACCAGTAGACCCTGGTTTACATCAAGAAAAATATATAATAGCCTACAACGAAATATAATAAAAATAATTATATTAAGTCCCAACACAGGGAAGAAAGACAGCAGCATTAAATTACTCTGTATCTATAAATTTTTCACCTCACCTCTCCTCCAAAAAGAAAATACTGAAAGAGGTATATCTTGACTCGTTTTCTACAACAGTGTAATGTCAGCAGAGAGTGAATTACAAAACACAGAGTCGCCTTCAAAAAGGCCCTTCCCTGAGTCCCTACTACGCTATGTAGGTACTTCTCCAAGATCTCAAGGTGCAGGCAGGACTGTGTGGTTGAAGGCATTCTCTCAGATACTTAGGAACCTGGTTATTCAGAGCTTTAAACACTTTGAATCTGGTCTGGTATGTAGGCTTATATACAGCACAATAAACAAAGTATATCAGCGGTGAACATAAAATAGGATAAAAATGCTTAGTCAACATCTAGACAGGGATACACAATTGCTGATCGCTGAGCAATGCATCAGAAAAGGTCTGTGTAAACAGAAGAGTCTTAAGCAGGTGTTTGAAACAAAGTACCATACTGATGGTGCATGCTTAATATTAAAGGACAAAGAGTTCCACAAGCAAGGCACAGACACACCAACTGCCTCGTTTATTGCTGAAGCAAGGCAAACATCATGTGTTACCCTTAATAGTGTATCACTGGCTGAACATAAAGATCTGGAAAGAATGTACTGTATAACTTTCCTAGGTGCTATTCATTTAGATTGACTTATGGAAATAATTTTATTCTGCATCCTTTTCAGGTTTGCGTCTTTGGGAGCAAAAATAATATGGAAGCGGAATTATTCTTTACAGAGTTACTGACAAGAAAAAGAAAACATTTGCATGTTATATTGATTTGGGGTAAAACAGCAGAGCCTTGCTGTCAACAGAGCCTTCAGAGCAGGAAGATATAAAATAAAAGGAGTTTAGAAGTTAAATTCTGTCCTCAGGCAACCATTAATTGAATCCATTACAGAACCAAACATTAAAACAGCCAGGCACTTCATTATTACATGGAACAGTTTGCCATTGCTTACTTTATTCTCAGCATTTTAGAGTAGAGAGAGAGGTCAGCTTTCAACACAATTCGTACATTTTAAAAAATGAATCTGTTTCTATTCTCTGCAGGAATAATATCTTGTGCAGATTGAATTTGTTTTATTGATATTTTATTTTGCTCTTTGGCAGAATATATGTGTGTGTGTTTGTGTGTCTTGCTGTTAAATGTCTGCTACAATTGTTTGTAAGGTTTGCATTGTATTGACTTCGTATTGAGTTAATTATGTACTTTTCTCCATCTATTCTATGGTGGCCTGTGGCTGCCAGCAATAAAACTGAATTGAACTAGGCTTATTTCTATAAAAGCTCTATTCTTCACATTTAGCTTTATTATGTACACTTTAATACCATTAGACCTAGAGAACACTTATATTAGTACAGATGTGGGGGGGGGGGGTACAATGACCACAAGATTCAGTTCAGATCCCAATTCGGCACTTGAGAAAACAACCAACCTCAAGCTTTGCTGGGACTACTCAAATTTACTTCATTTATCTCTGTTTGTTACATATTCACCATTGGAATTTTTAAAAAAAGATTTTTAACTTTTATTCCTTCTGAAATAATTTGATAAAATTGCACACTAGCCCCTCCAGAGTGGATAAAGCCTGCCAATTTACAAACATATAGGTCCAGGGACTTTTATTGTGGGTAACGTCAACCTTGTGTGTTCTTTTTTAAAAGGAAGTATTTATAACTATTTCATTTGGTGGCAGAATTAGATTAAAATTGGCAGGGAAATTCACTCATTCTCAGGGCATAATTCCTGACGAAGGTCAGAAGGATAGCTGCCATGGTTCACCTGCAAAGGCAGTCATTACAACCTGGGGGTAAGTTTTTTAAAAAATGAACTCCATTTCCCTTTTCTGGTTTGAATATTGCAGGCACAGGAGAGATGCCCTGGGTAAGAAAGATTGCAGCCTCAACAAAACCAAAAGAAACAATGCAATCTGGCAGCAGTAATGATGCTTTCTTGTAATTAAGCAATGCCCACAGTGGGATGAAAATATGTAAAAACATCAGTGGTTACAAAGCTGTTTCAAATCTTGGCCATCTGGCACAGCACTTAACATCATGCCATAGTGCCTAGGTCAGGTAGCAGCCCCACCTACTGAAATCTGAGAAATGAGGAATATATGGGAATTGCATGCACAAGCCTGCACTGCCATGTTTTGTGGAAAGCCTTATCTGCAGAAAGAGCTGCCTCGTTTGTCTGCCATTGGCTGGCCCACAGAAAACTGAGTGACATTATCACACATTTCACAGCACTTCAAAACATTAGTATATCCCTCTAGTTTTTATTTTCTATATGAGACACCCTCACTTTTAAAAAAAAACTTCAGATTTTTTGTGTCCTTGGATCTCCTGCCAAAGTACCCATACAGGCAGAGAGAGTTAAACAGAGTTAGCAGAGTTAAATGTGTATAAACCCATTGGTTTCAATGAGCTTAAATCCTATGTTGAATTGTGCCTGGATCATTCCCATGGAATCTCCTCTATTAAGCAGCTCCAACCTTGTAAACGTACACAGAAGCATAGCACAAAACATCTGACCACAGATACAAACTTAAGCTGAGTGCATACCGATGATGACCATCTTCATGACCACCAAAAACCTTCAGACTCCAGTTAAAACCAAGAGGCATTACATACTATTTGAGTCCCAGCTTGGCACCTAACCTTGAAAGGCATCTCATTTTCAACCACCTCTACATGAGAAACCCAAGCAGTTATTTCACATACAGACTTCCCTTCAGTAAATGTGAGGGATTTGATGGCCACATCTGGACACAGCACTATTACATGAACCAAGGATGTGGGCTCCCCAGATGTTGTTGGACACCAACTCCCATCAGCCCCAGCCAGCATGGTCAACAGTCAGGGACAACTGAAGTTGCAGTCCAGCATTAACTGGAGAGCCTATTTGAACTGGTGGTAATAGTTTGCCTTGCTCCAAACACATCACAATCATAGAATATTAGGGAGAAACAAACAAACTGTAAGTGCTGGTTTGGAAATAATAACCAAAACCTTAAATCCTAACTAAAGAGTTTTCAAAGTTGATGGAATAAACACAGATTTGAAAGTTTCCAGTATTATCCCCAAATGGAAGAGTACTCTTCTGAAAGCACTGCAAGGACTTTCTTCTGGTGCTGGCCCCAAAAGTTGAAAAGCATCTTACAGAAGACAAATTTCTCTTTAGAAAAGTGGGGGTGGGGAGGGGATTTGCAAAAATGACACATGCAAATTTGCTCTAACAGTGGCATTTAGCTCAGCTAGTACTCTGGACAGCTACCGGTAATAGTTTCCTAGTAGGGTCACTGTGAAAAGCCAGTTGGGGTGATGGACTAAGATCTTCGCCTCATCTCACTGGCCCTTTCTGTCTCACTGCTACAACAATCCCTCACTGCCAGTCTTGACTCGGGGTTAGCCACTGGGTGTGGGGTTTCTGCCTGTATCGGATCAGCCTCCAAATGCTGATCCCAAATAGCTATTGTTTTACCTCAGCCTGTTACTCTGAAGAGGGGGGTGCAAGACTCCCCAATATTTAAGGACTGATTTGTTCAGATCATTGTTTATATATGCCTGGTGTATCCCAGGGGGATTTCTAACCACATGAGTGGATGCCTCATATCACTGTAGGAGGATTTTAATTTTTTTATCATCAGGGCCGAGAGGAAGTCTTTTCCCCACTGAGCATCTGTGTGCAGCCTTTCCTCGTGTACATTTGGGAGTGCAAGGGTACTTGGACTTCCTCTGATTAATATCTCTTTTTCTTGGAAGGCGGAACACAGTGGTTCTCCCTTTAGCATGAAGTAGAGCATGAACAGATTGATGACTATGTGTTTTCCTGAAGAAGAACCTTCTGTGTTTGAGCCGGGTGGGAGAAGGTCCTTCCATGTATCTAGGGGGACGGAAACATCTTTAGAGGAAGAATCAGATTCTTCTGCTCTTTACAAGCAATCCTCATTTTCAGTACGTTTAGGTAGCAGTCATTTAAGAGGTCATTTCCCTGAGCATTTGCAATGAGGGGAAGGGGGGGTGGCCACTTGGCCTTCAAGATGGGATGGCTGGGTTTCCCCCCTTTTTTGAACCGGCTGGTTTGAGAAGCAGCCGGGCAAGACCATGGGATGATTATTTCCCCCCTTTTAGCATTTGTGCATAGGAGATCAATAGCCGGAGGCTGTCTCCTCCTACGTGAAGGGGGAACCTGCCCGTCAGCAGCTTGCCATCCTCGCTCGCTCCCTCCCTCCCGGTTCTGCCTGTCACATGAGTTCGCCGCTCACTCACCGCCTGTGATCTGCGCGGGGCCAAAGCACAGAGCCAGCTGGAACCACAGGACCACCAGGGAGAGTCTGGACTGCGAGCGCTGAAGCAGCGGGGGCGGTGGAGGTGGAGGGGGTGGCGGCGGCGGTGGCTGCTGCTCCTGCCGCCGCCGCTTCTCTAGGAACGGATCCCCGCTGCTCGGGTTCATTCCATGATACATCTTTCATCCGCAAAGGGCATCGGGATTGCAACGGTCTGCAACGACAGAAACAGGCAGCTTTGCTTCAGCAGCGCACGGGCAGTTCCCTCCGCACACCTTCCCGCCCCCTCCCGGAGGAGGCGCCCCTCACTCCACGGCACTTTCTGGCCCTCCGCCTGCAAAAAAGGAAAACCTATCCCACGCCGGGTCGCCCCCCGCGCGCTGCCCTTCCGTCGCGCGCTCCCTGGCGGCAGGATGGCAGTGGTGCTTTTGCATGCAAGAACCGGCCTGCCCTCCCCAGGCTTCGCGCCGGGAGGCGGCCACCCCCTCCTACCAACGTCACCTTAGCCGAACCCAGGAAAAAAGCCCCGCTCCGGCGGCGGGAACTCCCGTCCCCTCCATTCTCCCCTCACCCCGGTCCCTCGCCGGCGACGAATACGCCGTTCCTCGGCGCCGCGGCTCCATTCCTTTCTAAAGTCCCGCCGCTGGGGGTCTTCCTCTGACTGACCGACCCGCCCGCCCCTTCTCAGGAGCTCCCGGTCACTTTGGGAGGCGCGCGCCAGAGTCCCCCGCGCGGTTTTTGGCGAGGTGCCGAAAGGGAGAGAGAGAGCTGCGAAGTTCTTTCACCTCCTCGGGTCTCTCACCTTCCCCCGCCGCCGCAACCCTCCCTCGTCGGTGGCCACCAGCCCCTCTCGGCTTCCCCGCCTCCTCCCTCCCCGTCCGCGGCGCAGTGCGCCCTTTCCTTACCTGAGAGCTGCCCGCCTGCATGAGGGAGCCTCTTTGCTGCCTTCCCCCCTAGCCAAGCTCTACCGCTGCAGAGCACGCGACCCTTCGCCGCCGCCGCCGCCGCTGCTGCCTCCGAGTCCGCACTCCCCTCAGTTGCTAGCGGAGGAGGAGGACGGAGAGAGAGACACACGGCGCGCGCCGCTGCTCGCGCTCATCCTACCTGTCTGCAGGGGGGGGGAGGAGGAGGGGAGCGAGGGAGAAGGAGGCAAGAGCAGAGAAACACCCGCGAGGCGCCGGCTGCCGCAGCTGCTGCCAATGAGGAGGCTGAGCGTGCACCTGCTTTAGTGCACGAGCCGCCTGCCACGCTGCTGCTGCTGCTCCCGGGAGGGGGGCCCTCCGGCTGGCGCGCGGAGCGGGCGGCCCTCGCTGCGTTTTCCCGGTGACGAACGACGGGCGCCAGGAGCGCGAGCGGAGGAGGGCGAGGAGGGCGAGAAGGAGGCGGCGACGGCAGCAGCAGCAACAACTGTGGAGGCCATCCTCGGTACTACGGTGGCTCCCGAGGCTGTCCCCAAGCCTGCTCTGGGACTGCTGCAAGAACGGCGAGCATTTCGGAGAAGGAGGCGCCTGGGCTGCCGGGCTCCCCTCCCGCCCTTCAGGAAGGGGAAACGCGCCTTTGGAGCCGAAGCGAGGGGGCGAGGGGCACGTTGGTCGCGATCCCTTATGGATCGCCACCGACAGTAAAGGGGCATGGAGCTAACTCCTATGTGGCAGCTCTCTTTTTTGAAGTGGCGGCCATTTTCCAAAACTGACACCCGGAGAGGTGGAGAAGGAAGCCGAAGGAGGCGGTTGGCATTTAATAACTTGCTTTAACATTGTAAACTGGATGCGATTTCGCCTCCATTTTCAATTTGCAGGAGGGGGCCGCTGGGGGCGCTGTGAGCAACCTTTGCTTCGGCATACTGTATCTAGGCTCGCGCGCCCGCGGTTGGAAGTTCAAGAGATTTTGGCCTGTGGTCGGCTCCTACGTCTAAGAAAAACCCCACCGCCCATAAATATTGTTGAACATAATAAAAACGCTGGTTTGGCACCGTGGAAACAAAGTGCAATTTCATAAACGAAACCGGCTCCATTTGCAAACCCACAAGCCCCATCCCTTGACCCCCAAAAGTGTTCACCAAGCCACGGGCCTTGTATAGTTAATTAACACAAGGACTGGTTTAGGGACTGAATCTCCCAGATGTGGCAGGTGGCAGATTAATTTGTCACTAGGAGGGTTTGTGGAAATTTGGCTCGACCATAGTGTTTTGGCTCCTGAGAACACATTGACATCAGGCCGGTACTCCTTGTGAGCAGCTTTAGTAATAAGATTTATTGCATGTTAATCATACCCTATTCATTCTGAAGTGCTTGGTTTCCAAGCTATGTTTATTAAGTTTGTTAATTGCTTTACAATTTTAGGTTTGTAATTAAAATGTGTGGTTTCAACGAGTAGGCAAATGTCATTCACAAATCAACATGGCATCCACAGCAAAGGAAATCAAGCACGTTGCTCATGTAACTGTAAGAGATTAGCCATGCAGTGATAATAGCATTGCAGTTATGTGGCCTGCATGGCCGATTTGTTAAAAGAAGCAAAACAAAACAAAAACTTCAAAGCTTGGTAAAATTAAAATTCAATTATCTGACTGAACGTTCCAGGCAGGAATCTTTCTAGACCCTACCTGGAAATGGCAGGGATTGAACCTGTGACCTGCTGTAAGTAAACTATGTGTTTCACCACTGAATTATGAGCTATTAACAGCCTTGTACCTGGCATTGCTCAGGGATTCTAAGAAACAAAAAAACAACAACAGTGCTATTTTGAAAGGTTCAGCCTGCCATCTTGATGCAAAATGCTGTCCAGTTGTATTCAAACATGAATGAAAACCTGCTCCTTTTTCTTGTGAACCATCATACAAAATTTGGTTACAATATCTTAAGAGGTGTCCAAGTGCATAACTAACAAGCAAATCACTTTCCAAAATATATAGTAGATGACCCATCTCCTGTTTTTAAGTCTCTCTTTCCAAAATGAACAGAGCTTGTTTCAAATGATTAAGTGTCAACAACATTATTACATATACACTGATTGTAGCCATTGCTAGTCTCAGGATCCGATCTCTGGGATGAGATGTGCTCCTGGTGTTTGAAAATGTCATAAGAGAAGTAATCAGGAAAGTCATATTTACTATGAGAGCTTGTTTGTCTTCCTAACTCTATTTGTGAACACAGCCAACACAATATAGTTTTTCCTACACATGCCCAACCAAGAATGTATGCAGTTTGTGTGCCACATGTTCTCACAGCTGTGGTGGGAAACACTGACCACAACGTCCAAAGACTTATTCCATGGAATGGGCATTTCATTTGTGCAGCATCCAGCTAAACTGTCCAGCTTAGATCAATATGCTCCCATAATAGATCAGTCACTGCCAAGCCACAGCAAGTCTGCCAAGTTGCAGAAGAATAATACAGTTACCACTAGCAGCACCAGCTGTATCTCTCAAGTTGAAGGTGTCGATATTTCCTGAAATGTCAGCTGATACTCAATTACATTCTGGTGCGAACTCTTCAGACGTTGTGAAAAAGGGAACGTGCAGCGAAGGGTGCAGCTGCAGCCCTCCAGATGCTGCAACTTCTATCGTTGGCCATGCTCTCTGGGGCTGACAAGAGTCCAACAGCAAGTGAAGGGTTAACCGTCCCCCCACCACACTGTTAGACACACCACAGTAGGAGTGGGGAACATTTTTTAGCATGAGGGCTGCATCCCCTTCAAGACAACCTTCTGGGGCCTACATTCTAGTAGTGGGCAAGGCCAGAAACAAAAACCAACAGAGCATTGGATATAAATTTTACTTTTGTACAGTAGGCTTGTTTATGTGCACACACACCTTTCTCTATCATCATCAAGATAAGCACAAGTCATTATTAGAGTTTAAGAACACATTCTAGCCAGGCAAATTAACGTTCAAGGAGGGTGTGAAGCAAGGCTGGTGAGAGGTGTAACCCAGGGACAGAGGGTGTGACTGTGGAGGTACTGTGGCCTGGGGATTTCCACAAGGTCCAGACAGAGTGGCCTGGAGGGACATCTTTGTCCTGTAGGCCTAAGGTCGTCATCGTCCCGTCCCCCCCGCACACGCACATACAGTGGTACCTCGGGTTAAGAACTTAATTTGTTCTGGAGGTCCGTTCTTAACCTGAAACTGTTCTTAACCTGAAGCATCACTTTAGCTAATGGGGCCTCCCGCTGCCACTGCGCCACCGCCGGACAATTTCTGTTCTCATCCTGAAGCAAAGTTCTTAACCCGAGGTACTATTTCTGGGTTAGCAGAGTCTGTAACCTGAAGTGTCTGTAACCTGAAGCGTCTGTAACCCGAGGTACCACTGTACTGCACTATAGCATTACAAAAATAAACAACTGCACTCCATGTAGCTTGGACCTAAGAGATCACACAAGCATGTGTGAGTACTCCATTCCCCAATAATTTAGTTCATATTTTCTCAGAGAAGCACAGTGACCCTGAGTAAGCACCTGGAACACCTGGGACCTTGCGCTGCTCAGAGATTGGGGTGGCATGCAACCATATTCATCGAGAAAGGGGGTTTGGCTCAAACACATTCATGCAGGGTGAGCAAAATTCCAGCCTCTTTTTGCACCCCTCTGGCTCTTTTGCTCTGGAACTACAACCTCAAAATAAGACTCTGCTAGGAGAGTGCTATCAAAGATAGATGATCTGGGATTCTGCATGCCTGATGCAAGCTGCAGGTTGCCTTTGAAGAAGGTTTTTCTGTATTTGTTCCACCTGTATCTCCTTCTAACTCCAAGTTGCTCAAAAATGTATTTCAGGTTCACCTGAGGGTAGCATGACAGTCTTTATTTTACTTTATTTTAAACTGCTTTACAGAGAGGCTAGCTGAAAGCAGCAAGGGGGGGGAGTGAATTCATATCCATTTCCCTGCCACATTTCTTTTGCTTCCAACTGACCCCAACCTAAATTGAGCTTCACGTATACCTATTCTTAGCAGTATGGTGTGGGGCTTTTTAATGGTAACTTGTGTTACGGCAACCACAAAGAAGTGCTGAAAGGCACAGGAGTACAACAACAATATATTAATGAGAAGAAGCTTACAATAAAGTAGACAAAATATCATTACAGTTGCAAAGTGTACTTTTCAGTAAGGCTTACAAAGAACAGTATAGCACAAAATAATGATTACTGTACAGTGGTACCTTGGGTTACAGACGCTTCAGGTTACAGACTCCGCTAACCCGGAAGTAGTACCTCAGGTTAAGAACTTTGCTTCAGGATGAGAACAGAAATCGTGCTCTGGCAGCGGCAGCAGTGGGAGGCCCCATTAGCTAAAGTGGTACCTCAGGTTAAGAACAGTTTCAGGTTAAAAACGGACCTCCAGAACGAATTAACCCGAGTACCACTGTATTGATGAATGCTTTAAGCAGCTTGCAGGAGACGAGCTTCCAAATAAGGTCCTATTTTGAAAAATTTCCTCAGATGATAACACCTCAAAAATGTTTCAGGGCCATGATTGCAGTTTCCAAAACTGGGAGGACTTCAGGAAATATTTATCTCTCCGAACAAGTCACACAGTTCCACGAGGATAATACCACTGCAAGGGATTCAAAATTGTAGGCAGTTGACTTGTGTTGTGGGACTTTTACCAGTTTTTAGATCTAGAGTCAGATTCACTCAAATAGGTTAGAATAACAGAGTGGAACAAAATCCAAATGAGAGCATGTATAGAGATGAAGACAACCTTTTCCAACCAGGGAAGCAATTCAATGGAACAACCTGCTATGGCGATCATTCCATCAGGGCAAGTGTTTCAGCTTTTCAGGCAAAACAACCCCCTTTCTTCCCCCTTGTGCTGTTTGGGGGTTCCGGCCCCCAAGCTAATTTCAGGAGCCATGGGGGACATAGGGGCAGGGGGGGCAGGGAGCCCAGTTGTGAAAGCCAATGTCCTTGTGCAGGGTTTCCACTGACGGGATTCATTAGCTGAATCCTGCCCCTGGTTTCCCACAGATATTCTGGACTATTTTTATGCAGTGTACTGTCCTCGTAAACTGCCTTGCAGTCATGGGAAAAGCATGGTACAAATGGATAAAAGAAATGAAGTTTTGCAGACAGTGCTTTTAGCAGTGTCATCTCCCTGGCTGAAGATAGTGTTGCTTGTACAATGGATATGTATTCTGCCTTCTTTCTGCTTGTTGAATCAAAGGAATGAAATCAGGAAGGGGGATTCATTATCACTTACAGGCAAGAGCACAACCATAACAGATCTTCCAAGCACAAGTGTAAAATGTAGTTATTATAGTTTTACCAATTACTGCTAATTAAGCGTTATTAAAAAGGCTGCAGGCAGAGGAGGAACTCTGATTGACCCTGTGCATCCCTTTGGCTAATGTGACCTATATAAATTATTATTTGACTTTTAAAAGCTGGTTTCAAATATGTTGATGCCAAAATCAGCTTCGGGAAACTGTTTTTTAAAAACGTATTCTGCAAACATATGAAGCTGGCTTATACCAAGCCAACTGATATATCAAGCCTAGCACCATCAAAGATATCCTAGTTTGCTTTGACACTTGACCTTTCCTCTGGTTCACTCATTTTGCACAGAGCATCCAAACTACATTCCAGTGTTTTCTGTGGTCTCTTCTCATGCTTTTTCAACTGTCACTGTGTCCATTCCCATTCCTGCAGGGGTATGGGTGATTTCAGGAGCGCAGGCAAATATATATGCCAGTTCTTGAAA